TGAGTGTTAACTAGCCTTCCTTCTTATCATCATCTTCATTGTCATTATCTGCATATTATATACATTATGTCATTTATTTCTTCTAACTATAGGAGGTAGCAACTATTATTTTTATTTCCAGTTTACAAATGAGGAAACCCATACCTTATTTTATCCAAGCTTGTGGGTACTGAGAATATAAAGAAGAATTCATTATGGTTCTAGGCAAACTTTGGGGCCCTCCCTATCTAGTGGGAAGGAGCGAGGCACACATAAGCTCTCATGGTCCAATGGGTGCTGTGGTAGAGGAACATACCTGGGGAAGTTGAGGAAGGCTTCACGAATGAAGGAGGCTTGAGGGGCATCTTGAATGAAGGCAGGTTTTGTCATGAGGAATAGTGGAGGAAGGGGAAGCACATTCCAGGCAGAGGGAGCAGTATCTGTGTGACAGGGCCTAGTGCATGTTCCAGAGGGCAGGGCCGTCGTGGCTGGGTGCACCACAGGCAGCAGCAGAAGGGGAGTGGATGAGTGTTTGGGGTCAGCTATTCAGAGCCCTGTTGGCCAAGCTGAGGGTTTTGTTCTGTGAGCAACAGGGAGCCACTGGAGCTTTTTATTAAGGCAGACTCGGTACAGACCAGGAAGACAGTCCTTACTGCACCAGAGTGGGGAAGCATTACAGGGAAGAGAGGCCAGCTGCAGGCGGACCAATTGGGAGACCATCTCCAGGGTGCAGGCAAGAAGCAGAACAGGCTCTGAACCACGACCGGCAGTGAGAGGCAAGAGGAGGGGACACTTGGGGTATATATCAATAGGTAGAAACCTCAGGGCTGGCTGTCATGGGGGTCGAGGAGAGGGAAAAGGTGGCAAGGACCCTGAGGTTCCAGCTTGGGTCCGTGGCGATACTGTCAACTGAGGCAGGGAACACAAGACTGTCAGTAGAGAGGGGGAGTGAGGGGAGATAGGTGACTTGTTGGGTTTGGGGTATTGGACAGTGGACATGTCCAGCAAGAAACGGAATCGTGGCTTTGAGCCCAGGCCAGACATGGGGGCTGGAAAGCCACCACGGTCAAGGGGTATTGGTTGACTTTATGGGACTGGATGGGGTTTCTCTTCTCCTGTTTTATTCTTCCAGGGCAAGGGCTGGGGACGGAGTCAGGTGAGCCAAAGTATTTAAGGAGGGAGGTGGTGGGGGACACCAGCCCAGAATGAGAAGACACCCTTCTTTAGACCTTCCCAGAAATATCCCCTTCCCCTCATGCTCATGGTCCTTGTTCCAGGGCTTCACTCAGGCCAGTGATATGAGGAAGGGAGTGGGGGAGGAAGGAAGGAAAGGGAGGAAAGAGGGAGGGACAGAGGGAGGGAAGAAGGAAGGAGCTCTGTGCACAAAAATTGTGCCCGTGCAGGAGCCATGAAGCAAGGACAGGACAGTCACTTCAGCTCTGGAGTTCTTTAGTGTAGTATTGTCTTCTAACAAAACCTAATAGATTAACAGCTGTGGATTTGGGACAGCAAGTACAAAGACCACAAGTCTGCAGTGACCCCTGGAACACTCAGTGCCAGCGACTGCGTCTACACTGCTGCAGAGCTGGGAGCACATTCATGACAGCATTTTTCAAGCTCCTCTCTGTGCAAACTACAGCCGGTCTCCTAGGAGTCCTAACACTTTAATTAGACCTAGCAGGTCCCAGAACAAAATCCCACAGTCCCATAAATCTATAGCAACAAGTTAGGCATGAGAGCTTTAGTTACACTCTGGATGTAAGAGAATCCAAACTGCCCCTTTCTTTCTGAGTCTCTGAATGACCCTTGACCAATCCCTTTACCAGAAATATTTATCCGGGTTAGCCTTGGTCTCTGAGACCTTGAGGACTTCTACTGATTTCTCTGTTAAATCCCTGGAACTACAACAATAATAGTTCTGAACACTTTATACTCATCATCTCGTTTATTCCTCACAAATATTATAAATCCTATTTATATATGTATAATATTTATAGTAATAAGAGTAGCAGATATTTTGCTGAGGTGAGTCATGTTCTAAACAGGTTACATGATTAATAATTCCACATGAGCAACACTATGAGGTATCATTACTGTCTCCATTTCACAGGTGAAGAGCAAGTCACAGAGAGATTAAGTTGTTCAAAGTCACACAGCCTGTAAGAGACTTAGACTGAGAAGGAAAGCCTGCCATTGTGGCTCCACTGTGCTATTAACCAGTAACGTCTTCTGTAGCCCCAGCTAGCTCAAAATGGTTCTCAGTGAAGAATTGCTGTGCGTTTTGCACCTTAGGCTGGTAGCACTGCTGATTTAGATCTGCAGTCTAGATAACTGAAACTACTCAGGGTCTTTGTGAAGTAGCTTAGGAGATGCTGCTTGGGCAAGACAGGGTCAGGACTTCTAAGGCATTTCCATGTGCTTTTGGAGAGTCAGGAGGTAGGCTGGGGTTCATTATGGGACCCAGCTTTGTGACTTTCCTCCTCAACCCTTACCCCCATTCCCCAAGATAGAGTGCACTGTTTCTTAAGGCATGGCTTGAGGAGAATCCTTTAAACATGAAGATTCTAGGGCTGAAACACAAACCCACTCTATAGAGATAGCTGCTGGAATATGCATTTTAATTTTAAATAATAAGGCATTTAATTTTAAATAATAATAAGGCATTTTAATAAACTCTCAGGCTGAATTACTTGAGAACCATCAAAGTCTACATTGACAGGATATAGGCTTGTCTTCTGATTCTAGAAGTACCATAAACCTGATGAGGGGTGCTTCCCACTCCTCTTTTCTGCTGAGCAGAGAAGCAGGGAGGACTAGAATGGAGGGAACATGCTGAGGGCATGCCCGCACAGAAAGCTGAGCTCCTTCTTGTCACCACACCCCTTGAAAGAGTGAACTCTGTATCCCCAGGAGAGGATGGGGAGGGACAGAGAGAGGAAGCTATGGAAAGCCTCTGGAAGCCTTAGTACCCTGGGGCCCAGACAGGGGAGTCCCCTGAGGGAGGGAGAGAGTGGGGCTGTTGGAAGGGGAAAGTAGCTATGGACCAGCAGCCTTAGGAGCTGAGAGTCACAGTGGGAGTGACCGTGGCTTCAGAGTGATGCCACAGCTGCAATGAACTCTACAGCAACCAGAGACTCACAGTTTTCTGTAGGGCTCCTTTTGTTTTATTAGCGCTTCAGGAGCTGGATCCTTCTGGACCCTGCTCTCCCAGAAGTGATTCCATTTCACCACTAGGAAATGGGTAGCAAAGCTCAGTCTGTGGTTGGGGAAAGCAAAGGAAAAGATTTCATGATTCTTCAGCAGTGAATACATCTATTTAGTGAGATGTGGGATGGAATGGATCAAAACTAGTGAGAGGAAAGGCTTAGAAATGTTCTCTAGTGGGACTGGGAGGAAACGGTGAGAAGGTGACCTTAAATGAAGGAGATAGTGAGTCCCTGACACCTGCAGTTGGGAGACTTGCACTGAGTGGGACGATCTCCTGCTATAACGTATCCTCAGGCAATGAAGCATAAGCAGAGAGCCAGGAATGTTAATCATTGCTGATTTTTGTTAAGCATTTCCTTCGTACTAGGCACTGCACTGGGCTCTACGTGCATCATCTCATTCAGTCTTTACAACATTATATGAAAGCTCTTACTACTGTGCCCATTTTACAGATGAGGTTTAGATAGCTTATACCACTTGCCCAAGGCCACGCAATTAGTAAGTGGCAGAGCCAGAATTGGCACCCAAGTGGTCTTAATCCAAAATCGCATCTGCTAGGGCTTAGGAAGGGGCCCACATAGAGCTGTGGGGATGCTGAATCCTTGACCTGTGGCTTTACATGGGCAACCTGTCTTCAAACCTTACAGCTCTTGGAAAATAAAGTGAATGGCTGTATCTATCATGGATCTCCTTGGGAATGAGTTCAACGCTGGTATCAAAAGAATGAAAGGGTGAGAAGAGGGTCTCAAAAGTCTAAATCTTAGTATGGTCCTCTCCTTTGGCCTACCCACTCTGGGTTGAAGAAATGCTAGGATTGAGGGGCAAGCAGATTGTTAGATCTGTTTGTTCCATGTATTGAGGCCTCATAACATTTTTGGAGCCCTTGTTCAGTGACTCAGGTAACTCAGCCTGAGAGTATCTTTGCAGGGAGTTCCCCTATCTCTTATCCTACGTTACTACATGAGATTCTTCCTCCTTCTTGTAACCCAGTTACGTTAAGTGGGTCTTTTCTTATTCCCCAGATCCCGAGTCTCTGCCCCAATAAGTTGCCTGTACCCCATTTTAGCAAGAATAGAATCTTCCCTTTCTACCAACAGAGCTTCTTGGCACTTTGGCCTTGCCTGAGTCCTGCTTGCAGACTCCTGTTCTGAGGCTCGTGTTTGTACCTAGAATGATTTCATGTTCCTCCTCTCTCTTTGTCCCTCTATCAGAACCTGCTTTCAGGATGGGAGGCTTAACCGGCTGCTCCTCCCAAGAGGTTGGCATTTTAACTGTTGTCAAGGCCCTGAGTCAAAAGAATTATATACTTAAAAATTTTCAAGCCCTTTGGAGCAGATAGGGAGAGATTGGAAAGGCCAATGGAACATTCTTAACGCTACTGGAATGCACAAGGTGGGCATAAAATTCAGGCTTCTGCCAAGACAGAACCTGGATTATTTTGGTTATAATCAGAATCTGTAATCTGCCCCCACCCCAGCACTCAGGGCTTTGACCAAGTCTTCCAGACAATGAACCTCTATGATCCAAGGATCATTTTCTCAGAGCTCCTCAGAAGGAGGAGAGCTAAGAAACTTCTTGAATTACCAAAGACCTAGCAAACAGGTGGTAGTGAAGGCAGAGACAAATTCCTCCTGAGACTAGTTTTGTCCTATAGCCTGGAAACAAATCCAGTCTATACCAGACACAAGGTGAAATTTCTGTCTTTTTTTTTTTTTTAGCACTGATATTAACATTGTTCTTCTCAAATTGTCTTCAGAACAAGAACTTTTAAAATACAAATAAGAAGCTGTTCATTTTGCCAATCAGAGAAATTAAAGGCAGCCAGCCTTGGTCAAAGGAACATCTTATCCTTTGCTTTTGATAAGGACAGTGTTCCTTCCATTATGCTCTAAAACGGTAAAATATTCTTGCCCTCTTTTATTCTGATCCAGGGCTGAGGGTCATATGAAAGTTCAGAGAAGGACATGATTTTTAGTATGGGTGGTGGCAAGTTTATCAGATGGCTTCCTAGCCAAGATATTCCTCCCCCTCACCTCCAAACAAAATATGTACCCTAAGAATGATTTTATCTCAGTGTTAGGAGAAGAGGGTAGGTAGCAGGGCCTGGCTCTGTCATCGTGGGCTATTTTGAGGGGACTTCAGCAGTCCCAAAAAGAAGGAAAAGAAGGGCTGATTCTCCTTTTGTGAGCAGCCAGTGGAGCTGCTTTAGGGACTAACAAGCCAGCCAGAGACAATGTCCTCTCTCAGGAAAGCACTAAAAGCACCAGTAGTGCTCCTTTCATGGGGAGCCAACAGTTATTTTGGCCTCTCTTTCCATTAAAATAGGAAAGCATTGAAAAGGGCCATTCGTGGCATAGTGTGGAGCCTCCCCATTGTGGCAGCATTTCTAACTGCATTGAGAATTAACCATGTTGCTCTTCTTTTTCACCATGGAGGAATTTCTAGATTTTTATTTATACCCTACCACTTAGAACATCTTTCACTGTTTCAGCAAATTGCAGCATAAAAGATGGAGAAGCCAGCAGGGGCTGTGCCCACAATAGTAGCTGGGGTTGCATTTAAGACATTCAAATGCCAAGGGTGTGCTTCTCCCATTAAGTCCAACATAAGAAATCAGGTGTGCACAACACTGCTGAACAGAAGACCCCAAAGGACAGGTGGAGTTTCTGGTATGCTGTGGTGGTGGTTGGGGGGTGAGCTTGGGAAAGAACAAACAGGCATTTTCATTTTCCAAACTAAGAAGCGGTTTCCGTAGGGGGTGGGGAAGTGCTGGGGATGTCAGAAATTCTTCTAACGCCATGGACCTGCCCACACCTGAGTCAGATAATGATGACCTTCCCCAGGCCCTGTTTTCCTCCCCCCACCTCCCCAAAAGACAGCATGAGCATGAATAAACCCGGTACTTACAGGTGCAGAAGAATTTGGAACAGGAAAATGGAGCTTACAGGCTCCCGAATGCCTGCCGAGTCAGTTGCATCAGATTAGGAAATGATGATCGTAAGAATAAGATGTTTGGAAAATCTTGTCCCCTGCAAGGCCCCTAGTTTTTCTTCTCAGCCCACATCCAAACTCAGACCACCCCCAGGACGTCTCTCATCCTGCCAGACTGCCTGGTGCCTCCGCGTCCCTTACCGTGAGGGTGTGCTGGCAGCCACACTGCCTCTTTGAGCCTGTGGCCCGGCAAGGTAGTCAGGCTCCTGGGATTAGGTTGGCAGGAGTGACTGTCCTCCAAATGATTAGCCCAGAGAAAGAGAGAGAGAGCAAGCAAACCCGAAATCGGGTCCAGGGTAGAGAGCTCCAGGTCCTTAGCATATTCCTGGCGTATTCCAAAAGTGGCATCCACAGCAGAGAAAATGTCCCAAAATAGCTCAGGCTGCCAATGCCTTGCTGAAACCTGAGAAAGAATTGCTGAATTTAAAGATCTGGGTCGCTGTGGGTGTGTGATCAAAGTGCAGATTTTTTGGTAGGAGGAACTCAAGCCATGAGTTTAGGAGTGACATAAGGTCACTTGGGTCATGGCCTGCCTTCTCGTTTCCAACTTGCTGAAGTTGGTGGCAATGGCAGAGAGCTCCCCTATGCTGAGGCAGGGGTTTGGAAAGAGGTCCTAGTGATGCTGTTTTCATGCCCAGGTCTCTGATGCACTAACAATATGAAATAGCAGTGCTCTGCTTTCTGAATTTCAAACAAAGGAACTCGCAATATGCCAAGGTTGCTTTAGGATATTGCTCTGTGACTGATGCCATTCCGTTTTCAGTAGATTTTTCATTTCTTTTGGCCTTTGGCATAAGTAAATGTCAGCTTCTTAAAAATCAACAGAGAAGAGCAAACAATAGGGTCTCTGTAATTTTCTTGGGATTTGAGAAATCTCCCCTCCCTAGCTTCTGACTGGATCGTGTCTGTACATTGCTGCCTGTGGTCCTGGGAAGGACGAGGTCCACTCAGACATACTGTCTCATTTTTATATTTGCTGAGATCTTGGGATACTATCCTTTCGTCAGGTATGTCGAAACCTTAGGACTGTCTGCAGAGAGTGGTTTAGTATGTGGAAAGTTCAGCATATGCCATTCTTGGATTGGCCTTGGGGTTTAAGAAGAAAAAGCCCAGAATTTGGTTTCAAATTCCAGCTCTGCCTGTCTTGCTGTATGAAGTTGGGTGAGTCAATTTTCCTTTCTGGACCTCAGTTTCCTCTTCTATAAACTGAAGACAATAGTCTTCATCCTAATTCTAACCCAGTGGTGTAAAGAATGAGAGTTGAAAGAATGCTACAAAGGGAAGGGTTTGACACTCTCAGTAAGTGGTGACATTTTTCAGTTCCTCAAGGATCCCTGATTGGTAGCCACTACCCGTCCACATGCCTATAGTGAGCCCAAGACATCCCACAGTACTAGGCACTGTGAGCTTCATGTCTAGGAGTCGAAACAGTTTCTACTTTCAAGGTGTGTGACTTTTGGCAAGTAGCTCAATGCTTAGTAGCTCAGTGTTCACATCTGTCAAGTGGGTATACAAACTAATAATAAGACAGGTCCACAATCCCTTATCTGAAACTGTTGGAGCTAGACATGTTTTAGAGTTCCAAATATTAGGATTTTAGAAAAGCAATATGGTACATGTAACATATATATCACACGCAATCCAAGATACTACCCTGTGATCAAAGTCATTAATATTTCTAAATGGGATAAATAAATAGCCTCATGTCAATTCAGGCCCAGTTTTGCCACCAAATGAGCTTGCCACAAAATTTCAGTTTTCAGAAGCTTTAGGATATCAGGGAGGCACATAGGAAGTTGTGGACATTGAAAGAAGTTCATACTTATTTAGTGCATGTAATGTACGAGTCATTGCTCTAAGTATGCATTAACTCTAATTGGCCCAATAAGCCTATGAGGTAGGCAGTGTTATTATTATCATCCCCATTTTATAGATGAGAAAACTGAGATTCAGAGATTAAATCACTTGCTCAGGGTCCCAAAGCATTAGGAGCAATGCTGGGATTCCAACCCACACAGTTCAACTCTTATCCGCCTTGTCTGCCTAATGTATGGGGTTAAATTGAGGCTTTAAATGCCTATGGGAGCCGAGCAGGTCACTGAAAAAGTAAAGGTGGCCCATGGGTACTAAGGCAAACTGGTGAGCACATGCCCCACCTACAGGGAGCAGCTTGTTCAGCTCTGGCTGATTGTTGCTATATCGGATTTAGGATCGTAGTCTTCCTGTTTTTTATTTATTTATGTATTTTCCAGAAAAGCCAGAAATCCAGCTTTCTATCTAAAATTTCCTGACTTTTAAAGGTTGGCAACTAATTTTAAAAATGTTAAAAACATTGTACGGGTCAAATAAAATCTGTCTTCAGTCTGGATTTAGCCCGTAGCTGCCAGTTTGCAAGCTCTGCAATGAATAAATAGATGTGAGAGTGCTTTGGAAACTTAAAAACGTGTTCTAGAAACAGAAGGGCTTAATATTAGGGTTATATCTTGTTTTTTCCTTGACTGTGGTCTAGTTTTGAAAAAACTGGTGTTCCCGGCCTGATGGAGATGAAAAGTCAGAATTAAATGGAGACTTCAGTGAACTTGAGTGCTTCATTCCTTTGGGAGGCTGGATAAATGAGAAGCCTAGGTGTGCTGGAAGGATTAAGCCTCAGAATTCCTGCCACACCCACGAATCCCTTCTATGGAGTTTCCATCCACAGGTCCTAGCTCAGGGAAGTAGCAGTTTCTTATGAATAGGTGACTATTCTTGATATCACAAGATCCTTCTTACCCCTAGCAGTAGCCGGTTGAGCCAGGGGAGGGCATCTCATCCATGAGCAGTCAGTTTATAGGCTGGCGAACAGCCTATGAAGGAACCTGGGATGAGAACTTTGCCCAGCAAGTACAGTTACTGAATTTGGACCAATGAGATTCTCTCTCGGGGAGTTTGAATACCAGACCTAGAAAGGGTGAGCAATTGGCAACAGGGGCAGAAGCTAAACACAGAGAAGGCAGGCAGCAGGGCCCCTGGATAAGCAGGAACAGGAGAGATTACTGAACCTCGACTATGTGCCACACTTTTTACAGGTTGTTTTGTTTAATACATTCAAAGAGCATGTGAGGTAGGTATTGATATTATGTGTATTTTACGGACAAGGAAACGGAGGTGAAATAACTTGAAGTGTTGGGGTTCAACCTGAGACCTGTTTGGAGTTAAAATCAGAGTGTAGGAACCCCAAAGCCAGTGGTTCTGAAACTCTAGTGTTCCAGAATCACTTGGGTTAAATGCAGGTTCCTTGGTGTCACCCCGGACCTATATTGGTTGTGACTCCTTGAGGGTAGAGCCTCCCTCCCCTCACAAATCTGTGTTTTAGCAATTTTCTTAGGGAGCACTTGATGCAGGGGCTCCCTGCCACAATTTTTTTTTTTGAGAAATGCAGTTTCAGAGGGTATGGCAAGTATTGTGTACTGTGCTTCCGTCACCTACAGAAACAAGGTCAATGTCAACAGCTGTGATCAAACTCCAATTTAAAAACTTTTGGAAGTGGGGCCAATTTTGTAAGGAAGAAGACATTAGTTTGTTCTCTTCCCTCATCAAGGAAGTCTACATTAATACCAGTTATTTAAGAGACGATAAGATTGAGATGAATGCTCAGTAGTTGTAAACATGATTGGATCTACACTGCTGGGTGGGTGCAGAGCTAGCATATGTTCACTAAGCATTTTCTATGAGGTGCATAAACTGTAGAAACTCAGTGCTCTGGCATCAAAGAACAAGAGAGAAAATAATCAAATGCAGATAGACATATCATAAACCACGGAGCTTAAAATGTAAACCTACTTGCTAGGCTAATCGTAGAGTTTCTTCTCAGCCCTAGAGAATTTGTGTAAGAATCCCATCCATGCCATTATTTACACTGTTGATTAAAAATGCTGATCAGGAGAGGGTCAAGGCCAGGGACCTCCTTCTCGGTTGTTGCAGATCTCCCACTCTGGCAATGGTGTTCAGCTGGTTTTGCATTTTCCTGCTTTTAGGAACTCTCCCTGGGAAGACTAGTGGCCTGAAGGTTGCTTAGAGAGTCTCAAGTCAGAAACTGATTTGTGGTCCAAATGCTTAACAGCGTCACACACTTATTCCTACAAGAGAGGCATGTGGTCCAAGGGGTGGCACAGGTCAGATGTGTTGGCCAAGTCCCGCCTCAGCCGGGCTTGAATCTGCACTTGGCAACTTTTATTTCTCTCTGTCCATTCCTGTGGATACTTTATCTGTGTTAATGTACTCATTTAGGCTAAGGTCAAACTCTTGTTTTCTCTCTTCTGTCCAGAAAGACTTCCTGTCTTACAGGTATATGATCTTATCTGTGTTGATATTTTAACTCTGAGTGATTCCCTAAAGCAGGTCCTTGGACAAGTGCCCATCCTCCAGGAAAATGTAGCAGTCCACTGTGCAATGAGAAAGCTTGAGGACTAGGTAGCAAATGTTTCACAGAGAAGAGAAATCTATTTCATGTATTGCTCTTTATTCTGAGGTTATTTCCTTCTCTTTTGGGGTCGAAAGGAAGCCCTTTCTTTTTAGAAAATGATGATTTTAGGTTGTTTTGTTTCTTAATGCTTTTACTTGGAAAAATAAAAATCTGGAAGCTTAATATCAGTCCCTCAGTTTTTTGGGTTGCATTAGCTGCAAGTCTGGGAACCTGGTCTAATTTTGAGTGTTCTGCTAGCACCTCTAGGTACCTCCTATTGCCACTTATGTTCTAAGTGCTTATAAATTACCTGCTTCGTAATCTGCAGCAGAATCTCTCTGAGGATTGACATCAAGCTTACAGCTCTAGAGTTTATGGTATACTGGTCTGTAGTTTCCTTATTTAAGAAAATTGGGACACTGCCCATTTGCAGTCCTCTGGTATCCCTCCTGTTCTCTCTGATTCCACAGATCCTCCAGGATGGCACCTAATGCAAGGCAGTTCCCTTTGCTCTTCTTATAATGTTCTTTTCCCTATAGAGTTGGACATGCATATACATGTTGTTTGGGGAATTTGCAGCACATCCAATGAAAGCATAATTCCCAACTAACAGTCAAACCCTTTTCTTTGGAGCTACCCAGAACACACCTACCTTCTCTTTCGTATGACAGCCCTTCAGAGACTTGAAGACAGTGTGTGACTCTCCTGTGAGTTAAGAGCACTGGCTGAGTCAGACAGACCCGAGTGACAAGCCCAGCCTCACTCTCTTTCAGCTGTGAGAGCCAAGGTAAGTTACTTGATTTTAATTTCTCTCTAGTTCAGTTCTTTAGCTGATTTAGAAAATGAGAGTAAAAAAACTGCTTTATTGGCTTATCGTACAATAAATAAGATGATGTATGTGAAGTGTTTAACATAGTGCCTGGCATAGTAGGCACTCAGTAAATGCTAGCTATTTCCCCCTCTTTATTTGTAAAGAGTTGGGTGGGCATTTTAAGTGTCAGGGCTGTGTATGTGGGGGGGCTGTGTGTGTGGGGAGGATTTCTATTTTCCTGAATGATCAAGGAAGGTAGAAGATCCTAAAGTAGAGCAGGCATTTCTTTAGCCTTAGGGTGTCTGTTTTCAGCTATCTGGGTGCCTATTTGCTAGGGCTCTGGGAGAAGATATTGTTGAGAATCTAGGGAAAGGCTTGTTTTCAACAGCTGGACAGCTATTTGTTGACATATTGAACCATCTCTTGTTTATTCTTATTTCCCCGAGCAGCTAGCCATGCAATCCCCTAAACTCAATTACCTTTTGTGAGGCAGGAGCATGACACCTCCTAGCCATATTGATTAGTGTAGACTGGGTAGGACGTGAGGGACCTAAGAGATGGTAAGCAGCAATTTCTGGGATTTTCCTTCCTTAGAAGGCCTCTCTTCTCTGTGTTCTAGAGACTCTGGCTTTAATAGAACAGAAGTCTATGCCTCAAATGGACTGAGCTTGCAAGAACCCTCTCTCAGTAGCTTCCTTAGAAGCAGGGTGATTAAAATAGTCACAGTGGGCCAGAACTCGGAACCCTGGAGTGACCAGTGCCAGAATGGTTTTCTAACTGTAGCTCTTTGCCCATAGTGGGTTCTGCAAGCAATTGCATGATATGCACTGTGGATGCCATTGCAGCCAGAAAAAGTTTGGAAGGAGACACACCCAACTGTGGACAGTCAGAGGAATGGGACTTGTTGCGGGGGGGGGTTGGGGCATTCTCAGGACTTCAGCTCTATCTGTGGGGAGGATTTCAAGTCTTTATCCTAAGAGTATATTCCTAGATTACTTATGTAATTATTAAACATAAATCAAACTTAGAGAATAAATTATTTTTAAAACAAACCAAAAATAAAACACAAAATCAAGTGTACAAAGAGAGGAGTGAAAAGGGCTTGAGAAAGAACCCTAGGGAAACATATCTCAAAAAAAAATAAAAGGAACTTTTGTTAGTTTTTTCCTTTTTGCATTATGGGTCCATTATAGACCAATGAGAAAATACAGATAAGAAAAATGAAAATAAAACATCCTCTCTAATCCCATAATTCAACTGTGGTCACTGTTGGCATTTTGGTATATATCCTTCCAGATTTTATTTTTTCCTATGCAAAAGTCTACACATTTATTTTTATAAAAATTAGACCCTCATGTACACATTAGAACGTATTTTCAGTGGCTACATTAGTGGCTACTACATTTGCACCATGATTTGTTTACTCATTAAGCAAGTTGTGTTCTAGCATTAGGCATTTAGGTGATTTCCAAAATTGTTATGTTAGAATAATGGGCTGGAGCTGTGTGACATGGGGAAAGCTAGTTAACCTCTCTGTGCCTCTGGTTTCTCATCTGGAAAATGAAGGTGCTAATAGAACCTACCTCACAGGGATGTTGTATCAAATGAGATCGTGTAAGGTAAAACACTTAGTGCAGCTCCTGGCACAGTGAACATTAGCTTTGATTGTCAGGTATATTAATAATAATAAAAGTTGCTGTTGTGAGGCCATTGTTAACTGAATGCTATTCTGTGACTTTTTTTTGGCTTTCGGGAGAAAGGAGAGTGACTGGAATTTTTCTTTCGAGTACTATAGTGTAGTGAGCTCTGGAGTCACAGAGAACTGTGTGCTTTTGGTCATGTCAGTTCACCTCACAGAGGCTCAGTTTCCTTACCTGTATACTAAGAATTAAAAGGACCTAGCTTATGGGGTAATTGTACACATCAAATGAGATAATGTTTGTGAAGCCCTCAGCCCTGTTCTTGGCAAGTGGGAAGAGTTCAAGCAAGATCAGTTGTTGTTGTTGTTATTACCGCAAGGCTTCAGCCATCTGTGGTAAGAAAGTTTCCTTGCTTTGCAGTGTGGGGGTGTGGGGGAGGTGGCAGTGAGCAGAGTGCTCAGAGTTTCTAATCACTTGTCTGATTACAGAGAGATAAAATGGTTTCGGTCAGAATGACCAGGGCTGAAATCGGTTTGTTTTTTTAATGTGACTGCGGTCACATAGACTTCTCCAAGCTAATTTCCTTGTGTATAAAATGGGAATGATGTCAGTGCCTACCTTACAGGTGTTGCTGGGAGGTCAGAAGGATAGAATGCATGTGTAGTGCTTAGCCCAAGTGCTCAGTTTTTGTTGGTTACTAACTATGAGGTTTATAATGACCTCAATGCCTCCCTTGTCAAAATCTATATCTCTATAGAGGGATGTAGAACAGGGCTGCTTGAAGTTCACCTGGAGGCTTTGCCCTATGCAAGGCTCAGGGACCAATTCTCCCCTTAGACTGAGGGTTTCTCCCCTTTGACTGCCTGCACCAATTCAGGACAACTAGAGGACGCTGATAAACCTTTCTGCTAGTTCTACTCTGACCTTGTGCCCCAGTTCTAGAAAGCAGGCTGTAGCCCTGTTTGTATGAAGAAGCCCCCACCTGGTATGCTCAAGGCTGGTGTTTTTCTTGCTAGTGGTCTGAAATCCACGGAGCACTGCTGTTGAATCCTAGTTCTGTGGCAGGGATACTGGTGGCTGGATTCTCCTCCGTGTCTCTGACCCTGGGGTAAATTGCCTTTGTTATCATGACCATTGCAGGGCTCTATTAAGGTGTTTGCTCGCCAGCCCCCACTGACCATCCTCCCAAACCCTCTTCTGCATCTGAACCTCTTTGAACATTTCTGATGCTGCTCCACTCAATCCCCAGCCTCAGTTCCCTTCCCTCAAGCCCTCTACCTGTGCTTCTATGTAGTATCAGTTGCGGTGCCTGGATCCCAGGACTCCTGTGTCTGCTCAGCCACAGAGGCCATATATCTTGTTTCCTGAGCCAGGATCCTTCTCGTCTCATCTCTTTAATTGTGTTAATCTCCTCTTTTCTTTGGGACTGCCAGAGGTAGGCAGAGTAGGGTGGGGCACAGGCTGGTGGGACTGTTGGGGGCAACAGGGAAGAGGGGTGGAGTTGCATAGGCCAAGTGCTAAAGCAGAGCTTCTGGAGGACTGTCAAGTGAAAGGCGGCCAGAGGCAAATGTCAGAGCCTATATAGAGGCAGGAATCTGGGACCAGAAAGACAGAGCAAGCAGTAGCAAGTCAGGAGCAGTGGGGCGGGTGGGCGGGCAGGCTGGCTGGGGGGCAGGGGGGCGTGGCAGGGGATAGCAAAGAGAGATTGCAAAGAACAGCTGCTGGTATTGGGTCTTACTTTAAGGAACTGGTTGGCACGAGGTATAAGTTAATTGGCCAGAATAAATGAGCTAGGGGCGCATAGGATACTCTCTGCCTTCTCTCTGTCACTGGCAAGGTAAGATCTTTCTGGGTTTTGCCTGGTAGGAAACTGTGGCATGTTCAGAAATTTTTCTGAAGTTGGGAGGTGGAGGTCTGTGGCTGCCCTTTTGACTCATCTTTCCCATTGCACCAATTATTACAAGAACCAGGGTGTTAGCAGGAGGCCAGCATTTCTTTTATGACACCCCATCTTGGGATTGTCCAGGCTGGAGACAAACATAGCGGTTTCGGTAGGGCGAAACGGGGAGAGGTTGATCCTTACAGCACAGTGGTGAAGAGTAGGGGGCTCTGGAACTGGATGGACTCAGGAATCCATGTGTCTGCAGAGAAATTATTAAGCTTCTTTGCGTCTGAATTTTCTCATTTGTGAGATGAAGACTACAACCGAAATCTCTTAGTGTTGCTATGGGGACCACAGGAGATGATACATGTAAAGTGCCTGGCAGAGTGCTTGCCAGTCAGTACATGCTAAAGAGCAGTTCACTGTTAGCATTTCTGTTGCAAGTTTTCTCATTATTATGGAATCACAATTCCATGAGTTGATGACTTTTGTGATATTGTCCCAAAGTAGCAAGTTTCTGGTTTTGGCATGGGTAGGCTGTGGGAACATGTCAACATTGTGTAATATTTGCACTGGCTTCCAAGCCATGTGTTCAGAAGCCCCTTTTGGGGCTGCTTATTGGAGCAGGCTGAAGGGGTGAGGCTCTGGGATTGCCCATCCCCATGTCATCAGAAAAACTTGAAACTTGTACATGCTAGAGACTGGGCTTTAAGTGGCCCGTGGTCTAGGATGCCAGAGAAATAATTGAATGCAAGCTCAGGGATGCCAAACACTAGGCAACCCCCAGGAGGGGGTCAGAGTCAATGATCTACAGTTTGTCACTGTCACAGTGACCCCATTTTAGCCTTGAACTTCGCAAATCTGAGAAAGGCGGTAAAATGGGGATAGTAATATTATCTGTTGCCCAGGAGATTGTAAGGCCCAAATGGGGTAATGCTTACAAAGGCCCTCATGTTATAGGAAGTTGTGGATAGTTGTCTAAAGTACAGTGCCTGGCACATACTGTGGGAAGCAATAAATAGTAGTAATAGGGTGGTGGTTGCTGTTATTAATAATGATAATGAAAATAACAAGCAGAAGTTTCAGTTCATGGAATGTTGCTCTCAGTCATTGATCAGATAAATGTCCCCCTTTTCCTTAGGAGAACATTGAGGGCCATCAGAGTAGTTAAATGAATATTAAATCATTGGCAGAATTTAATGAGCCCAGGAACTAATGATTATCTTGGGGCAAAGGGCTTTCTCATTCAGGCCTGTCAGTACCTTGGCTAGCTTGCGAGTACTGCCTTGGGATAGAATACAGCCTAGGAACCTGCACTTCTTACACTTGGCCAGAAGGTGGTGCTGCTGCTTTATTTGAGTCAGGACTGTCCAAGCTCCCGGCGGCGGAGTTTGCTGGCATTTATAGCATTTACAAACTGAGAAGCTGTGCTGTGTAACTGGGTGGGTTGGTTTGAAAAGGATAGAGGCAGAAGGGGTATTTGCTCCAGCTCCAAAGTCGTTGATAGCCTAACCTTCAATGCCATATACCTGACAACGCATAAAACAAGTCTCCACCATGAACAATTTGTCTATTTCCCAATATTGGCTTTTGACCTCTAAACTTGGTTCTTGTTTGCAGATTTTCTTGCCGCTTGGGCTTCAGCAGGAAGGGGCTTCCTCTACACTGTCCTGTTGCTGTGGCAGACATGTCAATACCCTTACACTCACTGCAATTCAACAATACAACGAGGGAGGAAAATGATGAGCCCCCAAACAAGCAGATGGCCTTCTCTAGACCAGTGACAGAGACCAGAGCAGATGTCCAGATTCTGCATTCTCATATAGAGTTGCCTGTAGTCTCGACTTCAGCCTCAGATCCTGGAGGGACATCCGTACAGTTGATGACATCTCCAGCCTTTGACAACATGTCTGCACCTCTAATGGGAGTACCAAACTCTGGAGCCTTGTCCCCACCCCTAATGCCAACCTCAGACTCTGGGGAACTTTCCCCATTGCTAATGCCAGCCTCAGACTCCGGGGCACTGTCCCCATTGCTGATGCCAGGCTTCGATTCTGAAACATTGTCCCCATTGCTGTCTATTTCAGAGTATGGGTTAATGTCCCCAGAGATGATGACAATTCCTGACTTTGGAACAATGTCCACAACACTAATGGTAGCACCAGATTCTGCAGAGATATCACCATTGCCAATGCCAACTCCATCCTCTGGAGCGGTGTCTACACCTATAATGAGCACTTCATCCTCTGAGGCAATGTCCACACCATTAATGCTAGCCCCAGATTCTGGAGAGATATCCCCAATCCTAATGCCAGATATGAATCCTGGAGTGATGTCTACACAGCCAGTGCCAGCTCCCAGCTCTGAGGAAATGTCCCCATTGCAAATTACAGATGAAGACACTGAAGCAATGTCCAAAGTACTCATGACTGCCTTGGCCTCTGGAGAGATATCTTCGCTGCTAATGTCAGGCACAGACTCTGAAGCGATATCCTCACTGATAATGTCAGCTCTGGCTTCTGAAGGAATACCAACCCAGGAAACAAGCATCCAAAACTCTGGGGGAATATCTACCCCAATCATGTCAGACCCACACACTGGAGTAATGTCTTCACTGTTAATGTTAGCTCCAGACTCTGAAGTAATGTCCACACAGCTACCGTCAGTCCCAGATGCTGGAGAAATGTCCATATTACCAAAGCCAGCTCCAAATGCTGAAGCAATGTCCCCAGCAGTCATGATGGCCCTACCTTCTGGAATGATGCCCACCCAGATTATGTCAGTCCAAGGCTCTGGAGTGATGGGCCCATGGTCAACACAAAATCTAGACTCTGAAATCATGTCTACTCTGCCACTGAGAGGTACAGCCTCTGGGGTGATGTGTGCATCACCAGTAAGAGCTTCAGACTCTGGAGCAATGTCCACACCACTAATGGGAGACCCAGCCTCTGGAAATATGTCTGCATTGCAAAAGACAGTTCCAGTTTCTGAAGCCATGACCACCCCACTGATGACAGTCACAAGCTCTGAAGTGATGTCCACAGAGCAAATGTCAGCCACCGACTCTAGAGTAATGTCCACACAGTCAACAATGTCCAAAACTTCTAGAGCAAGGCCCAAACGCTCTAGGAAAGCCACGGCCAAACGGCGCACGAGAACCTCGGCCTCTAGAAAGATGTCCATGCCACTGAGGAGAGCTCCAGCATCTGGAGCAATGTCCACCCAGTCAATTGTGGCCACAGCCTCTGAAACAATGTCTATGCCACAAATGAGAACCACGGCCTCAGGACTGACATCTGCACCGCAAATGAAAGCCACGACTTCTGGAGCAATGTCCACCCCACTAATGACAGCCCAAACCTCTGGAGCAACATCCACACTGTTAATGAGAGACGCAGCCCCAGGTATGATGTCCTGTCCACAAATGAGAGCTCTGGCCTCTGGAGCATTGTCCCAGCCACTCATGACACCCCAAGCCTCTGGAACAATGGAACGAATGACAACCACAACTTCTGGAGCAGTGTCCACACTGCTAATGAGAGACGCAACTTCTGGAGCTCTGTCCATGCCGCAAATGACATACACAGCCTCTGGAGGAATGTCTTCACTGCTAATGAGAGATGCAGCTTCTGGAGCAATGTCCACATCACAAATGACAGACATAATCTCTGGAGGGATGTCCATGCCACTAATGAGAGCTCAAGACCCAGGAGAAATACCTGCATCACTGAGAGCCACAGCTTCTGGAAAGATGCCCAGCCAGCCAGTGAGCACCCAAGATCCTGGAGGAATGTCCGTGTTGTTCCTGAGATCCATGACTGCTGCAGGTATGCAGATGAGTGCCCCAACCTCTGATATGATGTCCACACCAACAAGGAGAGCTTGGACCTCTGAAGCAATGTCCACACCACTAATGAGAACCTCAGGCTCTGGAGAGAGGCCCTCGCTGCTCACAAGGGCTTCATCCTCCGGAGAGATGTCCCTACCACTAATGAGAGCTCCAGCTTCTGGAGAGATAGCCACGCCTCTGAGAGCCCCGGCTTATGGAGCCATGTCTGCTCCACAAATGACAGCCACAGCCTCTGGAATGATGTCCATGCCACAAGTGAATGCGCCCATCTCTGGAGCAATGTCCATGCCGCTGATGAGATCCACAGCCTCTGGAGTGACATCCGCACCACAAATGATGCCCACAGCTTCGGGAGACATGTGCACACTACCAATGAGAGTCCCAGCCTCTGTAGGGGTGTCGCCACCACTAGTAATAGCTCCAGCCTCTGGAACTATGTTCACACCACTAAGGAGACCCTCAGCCTGTGAAGCTGTGTCCACAGAGTTAATGAGAGCCCTGGCCTCTGGAACAATGCCCATGCCTTTGATGTCATCCATGGCTTCCAAAGAGATGTCTATGCCACTGATGGAAACCATGGTCTCTGGAACAATGTCCACTTTGCAAACCAGTGTTGCAAACTCTAGATCTATGTCCGTGCCACAAACAACATACACAGTGTCCAGAGGGATGGCCACAGTGCCAATCAGAGGCTCTGCTTCTGGAGCAATGTCCACATCATTTATGAGAGCCTCAGTTTCTGGAATGATGTCCATGCCACTACCGAGAGCCACAGCCTCTGGATGTGGCATGGGGGTGTCCAGGCCAAAAATGACAGCCACAGACTCTAGAGGGATGTCCACACCACTAATGAGGGCCCCAGGCTCTGGAACAACGTCCACCCCACAGACAGCCTTTGGAGTGATGCCCACTCTGGAAATCAAAGCCGAAGACTCTGGAGAGGCATCCACCTCTCACATTCACATCACAGCCTCTGGATCAAAGCCCAGACCATACATGACTGCCACAGTTCCTGAAACTACAAACCCACCACGAGAGGAAGTGCCATCCTTCGGAATGTTGACCCCGGCACTCTGTTACCTCTTAGAAGAGCAGGAAGCAGCCCGGGGCTCATGCCCTGTGGAGGAAGAGATGGAGATTGATGAGGAGAAGCAAATGAAAGGGTTTTTGGATGATTCAGAGAGAATGGCATTTCTGGTGTCACTTCACCTGGGAGCACCAGAGAGGTGGTTCATCTTGCAGATGGAGGTAGGACGCCCACTCTCAGATGAAAATACATCTTTCCTGAGAAGATCCCAGGGCTTATATGACTCCCTATCTGAGATAGACGTCCTCAGTGCTGTTCTTTGCCATCCCAAACAGGGCCAAAAGTCAGTCAGGCAGTATGCCACCGACTTCCTGCTGCTGACCCGACATTTATCTTGGTCTGATGCCATTCTACGGACCAGGTTTCTGGAAGGACTCTCAGAAGCTGTTGCCACCAAAATGGGTCGGATCTTCCTGAAGGTGGCTGGCAGCCTAAAGGAGCTGATAGACAGGTCTCTCTACACTGAGTGCCAGCTGGCGGAAGAGAAGGATTCCCCGGGCAACTCAAGCCAGGTCCTGCCAACAGCCTGTAAGCAGAATAATGAGGAGGCCACGGAGAATGAATTGAGCTCTCAGCAGCAGACTGAGGAGGTAATGAGGGGGAAATCCACTGAAGGTTTTTGAGCAGAGAAATAAGGAGGTCATGATAGGGAATATATCCTGCTTCCTTGAGTAGAATCGGGAAAAGGCAAAGGGCAGGCATAGAGCTCCTAGACCATGAGCACCAAGCTGGAGTTTCACCAAGTGAGCATGGTTCTGCAGTTATTTGGGGTATACTAACTACTTTGAGGAGCCATGTCAAGCCCAGCTTACTGAGGATGTGGGATAGTTGAAGTACCAATTCTTCTGATTATGAGGGAACTGACTGGCCTCAGTCCCAATTCTTCCGTTGTTCCAAGTTCAATTCTAAGAGATGGGTCTTTTGGGAGCTGGGGCTCATCTACAGTAACATGTGTTGTGGAGTCAGGTCACTAGGGAATTAGATGACCCTAGTCCTTGGTCACACTGTATGCAAGTGAGATAAATTAGCGAAGTGCCTCAATCTGCTAAATTATAGAGCTTATCCAGGCAGAACACTCCTTGTCATAGTAAGTGTGGCTCTTACCTCTGTTGTCTTTTTCTCATTCGCAGCACCAGCATGTTCCCAAACGTTGTTACTACCTGAAAGAGCATGAAGACCCCCAAGAAGGTCTTCATGACCACCTTGGACAGAGCACAGGCCATCATCAGAAGGCCCATACCAACAAGTAAAACTTTATGGAATCTTCTCCTGTGATATCTGACTGGGCTGCTAACTGGAGGACTGGTTCCTGGACCCATTCCATTCAACTACATCACAAACCTTGTTGCCTTCACCCTTCAGCCTCCCCCTCCAGGCACATCCCACCTTACCTCTCACTTGGCTGATTTGATCTTCCCTTTCACCCACATGCCTATGACCTGCCTTGACAATCAGAGTGTGGACTATAAGAGTATGGTGTGTGAGGTTCTGAACTCCCATCACCACCGAGGCCAGTACTAGTTCTTGGTACAGGGGGGAAGTCTAGGCAGGATACCTCTCACTTGGCTGATTTGACCTTCCCTTTCACCCACATGCCTATGACCTGCCTTGACAATCAGAGTGTGGACTATAAGAGTATGGTGTGTGAGGTTCTGAACTCCCATCACCACCGAGGCCAGTACTAGTTCTTGGTACAGGGGGGAAGTCTAGGCAGGATACCTCTCACTTGGCTGATTTGACCTTCCCTTTCACCCACATGCCTATGACCTGCCTTGACAATCAGAGTGTGGACTATAAGAGTACGGTGTGTGAGGTTCTGAATTCCTATCACCACCGAGGCCAGTACTAGTTCTTGGTACAGGGGGAGGTCTAGGCAGGATACCTCTCACTTGGCTGATGTGACCTTCCCTTTCACCCACATGCCTATGACCTGCCTTGACAATCAGAGTGTGGACTATAAGAGTATGGTATGTGAGGTTCTGAACTCCCATCACCACCGAGGCCAGTACTAGTTCTTGGTACAGGGGGGAAGTCTAGGCAGGATACCTCTCACTTGACTGATTTGACCTTCCCTTTCACCCACATGCCTATGACCTGCCTTGACAATCAGAGTGTGGACTATAAGAGTATGGTATGTGAGGTTCTGAACTCCCATCACCACCGAGGCCAGTACTAGTTCTTGGTACAGGGGGGAAGTCTAGGCAGGATACCTCTCACTTGACTGATTTGACCTTCCCTTTCACCCACATGCCTATGACCTGCCTTGACAATCAGAGTGTGGACTATAAGAGTACGGTGTGTGAGGTTCTGAATTCCTATCACCACCGAGGCCAGTACTAGTTCTTGGTACAGGGGGAGGTCTAGGCAGGATACCTCTCACTTGGCTGATGTGACCTTCTCTTTCACCCACATGCCTATGACCTGCCTTGACAATCAGAGTGTGGAATACAAGAGTGTATGGTGTGTAAGGTTCTGAACTCTCATCACGACTGAGGCCAGTACTACTTCTTGGTACAGGGGGAAGTGTAGGCAGGATAAATCATATCTTACCTCAAAACACCTTAGAGTGGCCAGGCGCGGTGGGTCACACCTGTGATCCTAGGATTGTGGGAGGCCAAGATGGGTGGATCACGAGGTCAAGAAATCGAGACCATTCTGGCCAACATGGTGAAACACCGTCTCTAATAAAAATACAAAAAATTAGCTGGGCATGGTGGCACGTACCTGTAGTCCCAGCTACTTGGGAGTCTGAGGCCAGAGGATCGCTTAAACCTGGGAGGTTCAGTGAGCCAAGATTGCACCAATGCACTCCAGCCTGGCAATAGAGTGAGACTTCATCTGAAAACAAACAAACAAATAACACCTTAGAGTATCTTGCCATGTGTCAGCAGGCAAACTTGAGAAAGACCTGTTTCTATTCCACCTGACAAGGGAGCCTATAAGGAGAGTGATGCCCACTCCTATACCACCCTCGTAATCCAGTAGACTTGCCCCATATGCCCCAACTCATAGCACCTAACATGGGTCTCCAGGGTCCTTGCCCTGTTTATAGTATCCATCCTGAACCATTCATTTTGACCCATAATAGTAATAATAGTGACAGTATAATGGCTGCTAGTTATTGATAGTGTATCGTGTCACAGGCACTGGGCTAAACTCTTGGCAAGCAACATCTCACTACATTCTTACCATAACACAACTTGTTATTGTGTTGTAAGCTTCTGACCTCTTGAGCTGTTGTTTATGGCCTTTGTCTTGTCCCTCAGTGCGGGTTCTCTAGCTCTGACCTCTGGGTGACCCCCTCAGTTGTCAATTGCCCTTGCTCCCCTTGGCTGTCATGCTTCATGGCCAGCACTCTTGATGAGGGTCTTGGTCTTTAAACAGGCATAGTGACAACATAATGTGCGCAGTGCTTGCTTTCAGGTGGTGGGGTTATGGGTAGTTTTTATTTTCTTCTTTCTACCTCTCTGTACTTTCCACATTCTCTGCAGTAAGCATGTATTACATTTATAATCATTAAAGTAAATAAACTTCATTTATGAAAAAAGAGTTCATTGTGGCTACTAGAATTTGATTTTCTGAGTCCTTTATTCAACCAATATTAGTCATCTAACCTATGGCAGCTACTGTTTGGGGGACAGACAGATAAGAATCCTGCTGATGTGAACATTCAATTCCAATGGAGTGGGGAGAACAAGAACACACTGAACTTAGGCTGAAATTGTGAAGACTGTGAAGAAAAGAAATCAGGACAATGGGGAATTTGATACAAATAGAACCAATTTATCTATTCAATAGTAGTACATATAATTGAGTTAAAGATCTTTCAACAACGGGAGAGACATAATTAGAAACTTAATTTAGATAGTTAAGTTGACAACAATTTGGAGACAGGATGGAGGAAGGGATCAGAGAGCAGCTGAGCCCTCTACTGCAATAGTCCAGGTGACTGGCCCAGTGACTCAATCTAGGGTGGTGGCAGCAGAGATGGTAATTCAGGGATAGACACCTAACCTTCTCTGAGGAGTCAAGTCCACTGCCCCATTACCCTAAGATTTGGGTCTGATTTCAGGAAGAGGAAAATGATTCTCAGGAAAGACAGACAAATTGGCAGACCCATGATACAGTACATAAGAATCCGGCTGTGTGGGTTGTCTGCAGCTGCCTCAGTCACTAGTGCTTTTGCCTCAGGAGAAAGAAGGTGCGGTAAGTCAGGAACTATGAATTCCAGAAAGAGAGATGACCGGCCCCTGGGGACCCACCTTTCCCCTTCCTCTCTGGGCCTGATGGCTCACACCTAGGCCAGTCTAAGACCAAGTGGAGCTTGGACGTCCTTTTTCAGCCAGGATTGCTCTTAGCTAGGAAAAGCACTGTCGAGTTTTCTCTCTGCTCAAAAGAAATGGATATTATAGGCTTCACAACTTATGGCTGGAAAAATGTATACAGAAAGGACCATGTCCTAAAAATGAACCTGATTTTCTTACGGCCACAATAAATGGAGAAGGATGGCAATTCTTTTCTTTATTTTTCTCCATAGCTATTCTTCTTCTTTTTGTTTTTGCCGCTCCTCTCCTTCAAGCTAACATCGCTAGAGATAAATGGAATAAATCAAGCCCAATCATACCCTGCCAGAGCTCACTCCCTGTTCTTCTACCCACCCTGAAGGTTTTATTTTGAAATGTTCTAAGAGCCCCTTAGTGTCTACATGGAGCTGGGCTATCATGTGCCCAAGTACTTGACACAATTTCATTTGCTATAAAATGGGGTTTCAAGTTTCTGCAGGCCTCCCTGGCCCATGGGTAAAAATAAAGTCCCATAAGTAGGAAAATCTCGGATGTCATGGATTCCTGTCCCCACCTGTGTTACAGGACCTCAATCCATTGAAGATTTCCTCCAATTATTTGTGGCAGGTCTCAGAAGTTTTGCACACTCTGAGATAGCTTTCTCTTGTTCTTTGATTCCTACCCTGCCCCATGGGGGTCAGCTGCCCACATTGTCACTTGAGGGGTTCCACTATACCCCATCCAGCTACTGGTGGGTGCCTATATCTGTGAAAACACAGAAACCCCTTCTCAGGGCAGGCGTGGGTTCTGGGGTGATCACAGCTGCACACCTGAGTGGAGCCTAAGTGTTGCTGCCCTCTCTTTGGCAGTGTTGGCTGACAGAACTGATGGCTCTGCCCAGAAGGGTGGAAATGCCTCTTTGAATTCTGTGCCACACATTAGCACCTGGACATCGAAACAATATTGCTTCTCACAGGGGCCATGCGACTCAATGAGGCCCCTATGAGAAAAGCAGCTTCAGCTTCTTCCTGCAGCAATATCTCCCTGCCCTTGCTCAAATGTTCAGACTTGATTCCTGTGTCAAGAACAATGGTTCTCAGGTCCTCTATCCAGACCCATGCATCAGCCCCCGTTTCTGTGTTCTTCTACCTGGTGAGTCGAGACTCACCCGAGGTGCTATAAATCCAGGAATCTCTTCTAAATAATTTTATTCCAGGTGACAACGTGCCAGGAACCCTCTCCACAGAACCAGTCTTTAGGGCACAGCTGGAGAGCAAATGCTACAATTTCCTATTCTTTCATCCTCCTGCCATCCTCTCACCCACCAACCTCATCTCTGTTTCTACTCCTCAGGAAACAGTATAGAGAGCTTTCTCTTAAAGACCACTATTCCCATGCAAGTACAGGCTCAGGCTGCTGCAGAGTTATGAATGCCTCAGAAAGTTCCTAGTCATTTCTGAGTGTCACTTTGGGCTCAGCCAGGCTCAGTCCACTGGACTACTGGACTACCCTGGACTACTTTCATCAGATCAAATGAGGGAATCTTCCCCTCCATTTCTTCCAATGGGTCATTGCTTGAGACTGAGGCACTCTCAACCTCACTCTCCAACCAGAATGTTACAGATAAAATAACTCATGCTATAAGAGATTAGGCCCCTAGGAATCATGTGTTTTCTTCCTCCTCACGTAGTTTGAAAGCAATTTGAACAACTGTGGGACAGAGGAAGCAAGCTGCTAGATCTCTTATGACCAAAGCGAAGGGTTATGGGAGAATAGATATTGTAATAGGTTGAAATGACACTGAAGGGGGAGACTTGACTTTTCTTTTCTTTCTTTCTTTTTTTTTTTTTTTGAGACGAAATCTTGCTCTGCTGCCCAGGCCAGAGTGCAGTGGCACAATCTCAGCTTACTGCAATCTCAGCCTCCTGGGCTCAAGTGATTCTCATGCCTCAGCCTCCTGAGTAGCTGGGATTATAGGCACCCACCACCATGCCTGGCTGATTTTTGTTATTTTTAGTAGAGATGGAGTTTTGCCATGTTGACCAGGCTGGTCTTGAACTCCTGACCTCAGGTGGTGATTGGCCTGCCTTGGCCTCCCAAAGTGTTGGGATTACAGACATGAGCTACCACGCCCAGCCAAGACTTGACTTTGAGTACTTCTGTCTCCCCCTCTAACAAGCTGGATAGTTTTAAACAGGCATGACACTGTATTTCTTGAGACTTCAGTTTCCTCTTCTCTAAAATAGGAGTAATCATCATTGTCCTGCAAACTTCATGGCATTGTGGGGTAAAGATTTGTGATGGTGCTTGGAAAAATCAAATGCAAGACATACAAATGTAAGATCTTGTTATTATCTGTTGAAGGGGATCAGAATATGCCACCCCCAAATATGCCACTTTAGCATTGTGATTGTTTTGAGCTAGGGGCAATTAAGGAGCAGCAAATGCAGAAAGAGTTCCTTGCACCTCCATATGTGTAAAGGTAGGACATAAATTTCCCTTTGTGAAGATGTTTCTTCTCTCCTCTCCTATACCATGAGAAAGCAACCGTCATCACTACAGACAGAAAGTCAGCACGAAGATAGGTCTGCATAACCAAACTTTTCTAAAATAACCTGTATCTTCTATTAGTTTCATATATACATATATGTGTAGTTCTTGAGGGTACAAGTGCTTTTTGTTACATGGATGAATTGCATAGTGATGAAGTCTGAGAGTTTAGTGGACCTGTCACCCAAGACACCTATATATTTACCTTCCCACAATTTACTGCCCCTAGAAGCCCAAACCTCTTTTCCTTTGTTTTGTCACTTCTCCATAATTTACCTTATATTCAAAAGGCATATAAGCCCCTGGATCTCACCACTTCTTTGTGTCTTCAACATCTTTTCTCTAAAAGCCCCAGTGCGTGTAACAATTAAAATATTAATATCAAACAAAATTTGCATGTCTTTCCTCCTGTTAGTCTGTCTTTCATTAGTGTAATTTTCGGGTCCCAATTATAGAACTAAGAAGGTAGAGGAAAAGAATGTTTCCTCTCTTACACTTGCTTGTCCATGAGGGTGTTGGGAATTGAGTGGGTTAGGATACAACTAGTTGGGACATATTGAGAATCCAATCTCTTTAGGAGTCCTATTTAAACTGTGGGGGGCAGGTTTAAAAGTAAATCAGACAAAACTGGCAAAAGCCACAGTTCGTTAGCACCTAGAGAGCACTGAACTATTGAGCACTTAACACAGGCCCAAGGTCTGGACTAATTGCATTACCTAGATTACCTCATGTAATCTTTACAACAACTCTGAGAGGGGGGTGGTCTCATTAATCCTATTTTACAGACCAGGAATCTGAGCCACAAAAAGGTTAACTAACTGGCCCAGGGCTACAGAGGTAAGAAGCGGTAGAGCTGGGATTTGAGCACTTGCAGTCTGGCCCTAGAGCCACACATGCAACTGCTCCACTATATGTACAGCTTTGTTATTCAGATCCAGACGGCTCCTGTGAGCACTCACCCTCTTCTCTTGAACAAATTTGCCACCAAACAGCAACCAATATTTGAAGTTCATAAAGTTGGAGGCCTGAGCGAAAATGGTCCTGCTTTTCTCTTTCCCTGCCTTAGATCCAGATGTGAATCTTCCGAGGTATTTGGGGAGTTTCTTCAATATTCAAGGAAGAGAATCAAGAGTTGTGGAATTCTACTGAGCTCAAGAGATTCTGCCCAGGGTCTTGCTCTAGCTTCAGAGGGCAGTAGTCTCTGTTCTGAGCTCTGGCCTAAGAAGGAGGCTAAGATTCTTTCCTAAACATCTTCCCTTTGAGCAGATATACATCTTGGGCCTAGATTCTGTGTGGAAGGGTATAGGATTCAGAAAGTGGAAGGCATTTTTATGGTTCCACCAGTAGCTGGCACTTATTTCTCCCTTCTTTTCACTTCTCCCTAAGGAAAGGGAAGATGTATATAAGGAAGAAAAATGATTAGTCCTTTAGATACTCCTTATCTCTGTCTTCCAACAGCATCCCCATTCCATGGAAGATTAACTTAGCTTTAATATTGTTGGGTAATACACACACCAAAAGGGCACCAGACACTTCTGGTTTCAGCAACTTGGTAGAGATAACCTACTGTGGTTTTTGCCATTGGAGACTCAGAGAAATGTTGGGTAAAGTTTGAGAAAAAACTAACAGCTGAGCCTGACATAAAGAAGGGACACCCCCAGGGGCAAAAAACAAAGAGGGATCTTAACAGCAGACCATTAAGCTGTTGAGCCCTCT